GAATCTTGCTAATATTGGTGACACTTACCAGCTTCTAAGGAGCTCCGGTAGTGTAGTGGTTACGAGTCAGGATGCTAACTTCAAGGTCAGCAGTCTGAAACTACCAGCTGTCCCATGGGAGAAAGATGAGGCTTTCTGCTCCTGTGATGATTTACAACCTTGGAAATTATATACAGGGTACAGCCTTGGAAATCCTATACAGGATTGTTATGAGTCAGAACCTACTCCACAGCATATAACCACAACCACCAGAAGCTTCTAGAATTTTCTGGAAGTTTCATAGGCCCTACTCATTCCCCAAGCATAAGGAGAGGAAAGAGTGAACCTAAATTCAAGAATAGTGTAGACCTGTGTGAATAGCAATTTCATAGGAAGATTAACTAGTATTGCAAAGGAATATACTCTCTTATTTCTTATCACCTTCTAGATTTCCCTGTTCCTCAAATCAGAGTGTTACTATCTAGGAGAGGAAGATTTGGGTCCATGGGAAGGGGACCAGAGCAATAGTTTAGTATACTTTTGATGAAGATTGAAAATCAGAAGTACAAAATACTCTGTGGTTCTGTTGTTGTTGTGTGCTGTGGAGTCAGTTCCAACTCATAGAGACCCTGTACAGGGTTTCCGAGGCTGTAAATCTTTATGGGAGCAGAAAGCCTCATCTTTCTCCCTCGGAACAGCTGGTAGTTTCGAACTGCTGACCTTGCGGTTCGCAACCAGATTCATAACCACTACACTACATGGTCTGAAATAGGTCACTGAGCTGGAAATTTCTTATGTATAAAAGGTTTGAGGTTAAAGCATTTCTTTTTGTAAACAAGGGAACCTTGCAAGTGCTGAATGACTGAATGACTGATCAACATACTGGGAACTGTAGGTTCATTGATGACTAACTATCTCACCAAATAATCAGCAGATAAAAACCAGTTGTTATTTATCTCATTTTAATTCATAGGGACCCCATATGTGTCAGGTAGAAGTGTGTTCCAGAGGGTTTTTAATTGCTGAGTTTTCATAAGTAAATCACCAGACCTTTCTTCCAATGTGCCTCTGGGCAGACTTGAACTTCCAACCTTTTGT